AGAGGGCAAGTGTGGAGTATATTCAGGAAACAGAGAGCCCAGGATGAGACACAAACTTGGGCTCTGAAACTGAGACTAAGAGTCTGGGAAGAAGTCACAGAGGGCCTTGTCAATGAAAAACTTGAATCAATAGTCCAATCTAAGAAGGAAATAGAGAATTTAACTCAAGCCACCTTGAAGATTACAACCCAGGAGATAGTCCTTCAGAAAGCTCTGAGGACCATTCCACCCATTAGAGATCAAAGCAGTTATACAAGGTTTTGAGACAAAGGGTTAGACATCCAAGTGACATACTGACAGTTTACATAGTCAAACAAGGGGAGTAGTGGAAGGAACCCTACTTACAGGATTAAGGAAGGAAATGTAAACTCTGAAAGAGTTACTTTGTTGGCACTAGGAGGAAATTGCTTCTTTTTTTTTCCCCTCCTCTTTGGCAAGAAAGCATTCCTGTGTTTTGTAAGGGAATCTAGTTAATGCACAATGCAGGTCACAATGTACACTAAAGGAGAGGGGAGAGTAGCTCAAACAGCAGTGAAAATTTTGTTAACTTTTTTTCTTGTCTGGCTTAAAATAATTTTGTTTCATCAGCCATAAATACCAAGCTCAAGGATTTGGGCTTCATTTTGAAAACTAAAGGGAGCCACTGAAATTTCTAAATGGGAAGCGTCTTGATTAAAGTTGTGCCTCAAGAGGACAGGATTCTGACAATGGATCCCCAGTTAACTTCCCATGAGACCCAGACAATCACTCTGTCTCGGGGCCTAGGTTTATCTAGAAGCTAGGATAACTCTCCATCTAAATTTAGGAACAATGCAGGGGTAGGAGACAACTTGAAGAAGGTTGAGTTAGTCCTTAGAGCTACAAATTCCAGGCCTGCAGCAGGATCCTAGCATGTGTATATATATATAACATTTTTTATTGAGTTATAGTCATTTTACAATGTTTTGTCAAATTCCAGTGTAGAGCGCAATCTTTCAGTTATACATGAACATATATATATTCATTGTCACATATTTTTTTTTTTGCTGTGAGCTACCACAAGATTTTGTATATATTTCCCTGTGCTACACAGTATAATCTTGTTTATCTATTTTGCATATGCCTGTCAGTATCTAAAATTTTGAAATCCCAGTCTGTCCCTTCCCAATCCTGGCCCCCTTGGCAACCACTAGCATGTATATTTTTAACAAGCTCCTCCGGTGATTCTGATGTGTGGCAAGTTTGTGATCACCTGACTGGGTGACACCTAATGTTAGTTCCATCTTCATGTGCTGAGACTGCGTGGTGGTGGTGGTGGTGGGGAAGGCAATATTTAGAAGCGGTAAAGAGGAAAGCCACTGGCCCAAAAAGGTGTCACTCGAGCTAAAGCCCATGATACCAAGCCTAAGCTTGACTTAATTGCAGCTTCAACCTTCCCCAGAAATGTAATCTTAACCAGTGGAATTTTCTGGTCAGCATCAAAGAAATAATCTGTCACATAGGCCCTCTCCATCCTCTCCTAGAGGAAGAAGATGCAATCTGCATGATAAAAGTCTTGATGGTACCCCTAGGCCCCCAAAGTAGATGTCCAGACCTAAAAATAAGCCTTTCTTTTCTTTTGCTAATAACTCCCTTGTCCTATCGTTCCTCCTATAAAAGCCTTCCTTTTGGTACACCTCCTTGGAGCACTCTTCCCGTTGCTAGATGGGGTGCTGCCTGCTTCATGAATTACTGAATAAAGCCAATTAGATCTTCAAATTTACTCTGTTGAATTTTGTTTTTTAACAGAGGTAAAGAAACTTCCCTTAAGACTGTTGCAATTATCTAGGCAAGAAGTAATGAAAGTGTGGGCTTGTGGAAATAAAAAATGGAAAAATAAATGATTAACGGAAAACACCACTAATGTAGAATTAAGGGGTTTGAGACAGGAAGGGGGCACGGCACAGAGATTCAAGGAATAGCACAGCAATTAACACCAAGGCCTACAGGGGGTTGATTCAACCCCCTGTAGGCCTTGAGGCTCAAGATGGTGGGAAATTTGACTTACAGCAGACCTTGAGCTTCATTATACATCCATTGTAATATATTAGCATGGTGAATAACATGCCTACAGGCACCATGACAGTCCCAAGGCTAGCCACAAAAGGTCAAAGAGTGCCAGTGGCCAACTTCCTGTGAACCCCAGCCCCTTCCCCAGGGTAGTTAGACTGGTCCTTCCACTTATTAGCATATGAAGCTACCCAGCCCAAAAAGCTGAGAGCACCTTGCTCTTTTCCCTCTCCCTCTTCCAGAGATGGCCCACATTCTATGGAGTGTGTGCCTAATTTTACTCTAATCTGAGCACCCAACCCCCACACTTCATGGCCTTTCTCTTGCCTTTTAATGTGTCTCTAAATAAATCTACTTTACTCAATTGTGGCTTGCTCTTGAATTCTTTCCAGCACAAAGCCAAGGGCCACACTTAGTGTGGTACGTCCCAGGGGCTCAACGGAAGCCTGGGACATGGCCCTCATGCTCCACATCCATTTTTCCTGCATCAGATTTACCTAGTAACTGGAAGCAAGGTTTGAAGAAGAGGGAAGAGGCAAGAATGATAACAAAGTTTTGGCAGTGACAAATTAATACACACAAGGAAATTATTAATTTCACTTTTCATGTTCCCACTGGGACCCTTCTGGGTACCAAAGCCTTTCTGTGTCTTCTTTCTTATTTGCAGGATGAAGGCTTCAGCCTTCTAGACTTTCCTGAATACCAAAGGGCAGATTCAAACAGTTACTAATCAGGGAAGTGAGGGAATGCAGAAACAAAGGAGAAGCAATCAAGACACAACAGTGCAGCACTTAAAGAAGGATCCTGGTTCCTCCTCAAGGAATATACAAAACCTTATCTTTGAGTTCTTCCAAAAGAACTAAGGCCCCCACCCACGAGCTAGATGGCAACTTCAGGCTGAGCTCAAGACTCGTGGAACACCACACTGTCACCTCATCACCAACCAGTCAGAAGAAAGTCACACATCCTGTAGCCCTTACCCCAAATTTTGCCTATAAAAACTTCTCCCTGAAAACCACTGGGGAGTTGGAGGGTTTTGTGCATGAATCACCTCTTCTCCTTATTTGGCCCTGCATAAACCTTTCTCTGCTCCAAACTCTACCATCTTGGTTTCTTTGGCCTTGAAGGAGAATTAATAAAATGGCCACATTTAGGCTAACAGAATTTTTATTCTTATGCTTGCCCTTAAAACGGTCAACTGATTTGACTGACCGGTTACTAGTCACAGTTCCAGGCCCATTGTTCAAACTAAAGCTATTATTCTCACTGTTTTCTACTTTATTCCAGTAATCAAAAGCCGTAATCATGCTTGGTCTTGTTGCAGAAAAATGTGTTACAGCTCAGTTGTGACAGCAACCTGGATCTGGGTGAGAGACCAAGCAGCACTCGGAGAGTTGGAGAACTCAGGTTTATTACACCATGCCAGCAGGCCCAGAGGAGTTAACACTTCAAGCTCTGGACCCCAT